AGGCCAGGTGCAGTGGCTCACACCTGTAATCTTAGTACTCTGGGAGGCCAAGGTGGGCTGATCATTTGAGGCCTGGAGTTCAATACCAGCCTGGCCAACATGGTAAAGCCCCATCTCTATTAAAAATATAAAAATTACCTGGGTGTGGTGGTGGGTGCCTGTAGTCCCAGCTACTCAGGAGGCTGAGGTATGAGAATCGCTTGAACCCAGGAAGCAGAAGTCACACTGAGCCGAGATCATGCCACTGCACTCCAGCCTGGGCTGCAGAGTGAGACTCTGTCTCTAAATAAATAAATAAATGAATAAAAGCATGCTATAAAAGAACATATGTCATGGCCCCCCCCATAACTGGGGCTGTCTCACCTGTCTATACAGCTGTCACACTGCCCCGTGCCACTGGAGGCCCAGCCACCCACCGTGCACACTGGGGCACACAATTGTCAGCCCCAACATCTCCTCAGACACAGCCAACAGAGTCTGGCTGTCATTCACTCACCCCCAGTTCGTCCCACCCATACTTCCAGCAGCCCATTTATCTCCCCTATTTTTAAATTCTTTCTTTCTTCTAACTCTTACCCAAGGATTCAGGAAGATGTGTTTCTCTGAGGCTCCTGCTGTTCGTCTGTCTCTCTGCCCCTCTTTCTTTCTCTCCCCATTTCCTTCCTTCCCCATCTTTCTTCCTTGATTCAGCCCTAAAGTGACTTAACCGTTGTGATATGAGAGTTACCAACTGCTACTTCCATATAAAATATAAGAAAGTCTGGTCATCCAATGTCACATTTACATCTCAAAGAAAACCAGGGGCGGAAATCTCTCAAACTCCTAAAAATTCCCAGAAGTTGTGTCAGCATCCTGAGTAGCTAGGACTAGAAGTATGTCCCATGCCTTTTTTTTTTTTTTTTTTTTTGTAGAGACGGGTCTATGATGTGTTGCCCAGGCTGGCCTCAAACTCCTGGCCTCAAGCAGTCCTCCGCCTCGGCCTCCAAGGGTGCTGGGATTACAGGCATGAGTCACCACACCCAGCTCTGTCTTTCCTTAAATAGCACATTAAAGATGTGATTTCTTGTTTCCCTGAGTTTAAATGCCACCAATATGATAGGAGTGTTACTTTTATCATTTGTTGTAGGCACACACAATTTTGGTTACATTCGGGATTATGCAGGATTTTACGAGTTACATTGGAAACCTAATAACCAGATCTAACATTGTTAAGGAGAACGTATTTCTGTCTTAAAATCTCCGATGTATAGCCCGTTCTGTGGCTGGATATTTCCTATAATGCCGACTTAGTGAATACCAAGCAGAAATAGGCGGTGGGAAAATCTGGCTACAGAGAGGTCATTTTGTGCTAAATATTTAAAGGGCACTAAAGTATGATCCAGGTAGCAGAAAGAAAGCCTTAGGATCAGCAATCTAATAAACCTCCGACACGTGTATCCATGTATCTAGTCAGGAAACATAGCACTATGGTGATAACTACAGTCACATCCTTTGTAGGCCAGCCACTGTGGGAGGCTCCAGGAATAAGATGGTGGGAAGGGCGAACGTGGACCTTACAGTCCAAAGAAGTCATCTCTCAGAGAAGCCTGAGTGTAGCCCAGGTGCGTAGGCCATGGTGAGTGCTGGGAGGGAAAGATCGAGGCCACCCACAGGCCTGCTGGTACCTCACCTGTGTGGAGGCTGGACAATCTGTGGGGCCCAGATACAGCTACAGGCAGGCTGAGGCCCTGACATGGGTTCTTCAGAAGCGCTGTTTCCAACTTATCCGTATTAGTAAAATTACTCTGATAAATGTCAGTAATCATATTTTTACATCAGTTTGATTTATCCCAAAATGAATAATCAAAGTCTTCGTCTACGAGGCTTTTTTCTGGAGTGGGCCCCAAAATATAAGACTTGGGTTATTCTAAGGGTTATCACCATGTTTATATTTTGCCGCCAGCTTATAACATTATATATGAGCATTTGAGTGAAGCCCATGTTATTGTTAAGAGTTCTAAATGCTATTGTTATTGGTGATGATAACAATATGAGGGATTATGGATCAACTTTGTGCCTGGCATAGAGTCCAGAAATAAACATGAACTGAATCTCAAAATTCTTTACAAAGTAAACGTGAGCAGCGCTGCAGAAAGAACTCACAACTGCACAAAGGTGATGAAAAGAATCTCCCACACAATGGACATATTTAAAGGCAAGAGATTGTGTCAGAAGCAGAGGCCCATGCCTGTAATCCCAGCACTTTGGGAGGCCAAAGTGGGCAGATCACTTGAGGTCAGGAGTTCAAGACCAGTCTGGTCAACATGTCGAAACTTCGTCTCTACTAAAAATACAAAAATTAGCCGGGCATAGTGGTGCAGGCCTGTAATCCCAGCTACTCAGGATGCTGAGGTGGGAGAATGGCTTGAACCCAAACGCTGGAGGTTGCAGTGAGCTGAGATCACACCACTGCATCCAGCCTGGGCGACAAGAGAGACCCTGTCTCTAAAAATAATAAAAAGGCAAGAGGTTGACCTGGTGAAGAATAGTGGGCCATCTTACATATTCATAGCTAGTTTTTATCATGTTTTCTTATGTTTGTGGTGGGATGCGGTTTGACCTGTAACATGTTCTTATTTATTTAATATAACACATTATATTATCATGAAATTCTACTACATTTTGTGGGAAATGAGAGAACTATAACTAGTGATAGAAAGCCTGTTTAAATGAAAAATTTGAGATGAAATCACACAGGCAGTCACCCCCCATATGACCGTGCTGGTTTGCACTGCTGGTCAGTAAATATTCACCTGCTGTCCCTCCTGTGTGGGGAGAGTGGACGTCCTCACTCCCGTGCTCATGGGCGTGGCCAAGAGACTTACTTTGGTCGGTGGAATATGAGTGGACTGACGTGGGCAGAGGCTTGACGTGTGCCTGGGCCCTTGTGCTTGCCTTTCTGTGCACCTGCATTTGACCTAGGTAGAAAATGCCTCAGGTAGCTGTCAGTCCAAGCAGGATGAAACACACGTGGTGCAAACAAACCCAGCCACAACCTGGAGCCAGATTAGCTGACATCAGTCCAGCCACAGGTGTGCAGACCACCCATAACAGCCTTGTTGTTTGACATCGAGTTTTGACGTGGTTTGTTATGCAGCATTTCTATGATGGTAACTGACTCTTAAGATAACCAAAGTCTTATATTTTTGTTAGGAAATTTTGTTTCACATTAAACATAAAGATAGCCACAGCTGTTCAGAAGTTAGAATATCTAGAAATAAACCTCTGATTTTGAAATCAGAGATTTTACAAAATGTACTACCTTTGGAATTGAAAGGCATCACCCTCTCCAGCTGCCTGCAGTGCGTGGACCAGGCTTGCTGGATCGGACAGCTCTCCAAACCCCAGCAGCATCGCAGGCCTAGTTTGCCATGAGCCTATGATGAAAAAGCCCAGCTCATAGTAGAGCTGCTAACAGCTACCATGAAAGAGACCAGAAAATACAAAATCCTTAGCTGTGTGAGATCTAAACACAGTTAAATTAGTTCAACTGAAAAGGAATATTGTTTTGGCAGCCCTATTTCAAAAGGACAGAAGACCTCAAACCTTTGACAGTTTTCGGTTCAAGTTTTGCCTTTCTTGGAAGGCTGATTCTTTGTTGTGCCAGACAGCCAAGATTCAAGTTTAGTAGCAGGTGGGAGCCTCAATAATTTAAGCAAAATGTTGCCTCTTTCAGCCAAGGAAAATGTAGCTCACAGAGGAATGTTACTTTGGAGCATCTGAACAGAGTGGGAGTCAGAGCCACAAAACTGTCCTAGCCTCCTAGCGAAGGCAGGAATGGAGAGACCCCTCTCCCTCACTTCAGCCCCTTCATGGCTTTCCATAGTTGAAAAGCAGGGAGTGTGGGAGAACTTTCTAGATGGTGTTAGCTTCCGAGAAGCCATCCGAAAGTTACTGTCGTTTATTTTTCTAAGTAAACAAGACAAGCCGTCACACCCCCTTTCAATTTTGGATTGAAAACAATTTGGGCTTGATTTCCTCAACCAAATTGAATTAATACACTTGCCATGTATTTTGGCTTGTAAAATTCCTTTTCATGCTATTTCATGAACATGAGAAAAACAGGGAAAGATTCAATGAAATGTACATTTTGTGGTAAAATTGGTATAACCTACCTGGAAAATTAGTCTACAGCAGTTTATTACTTTGTGAAAATTTGAAAATGCCAATTCAATGTCAAAAATAGCATATACTACATTTCATTAACTTAATAGTGTCATTGATCTGAAAACTGATAAAATAGAACAGCATATGTAATTACTTCTGTAGTCTTTTTGAGAAATGTAAATAGTATAGACTATTAATCAGCAAAACGCTCTTACACAAGGGAAATCTGTCAAGATTATTTTGCGATTTTATTTTTGCTAACCAAAATACTGTCCTTCAGTCCCTTCAGCTAGGTCTTGACATATTAAATTCTAAAAATCAGTACCGAATCTTTGTAAAATTATCTGTTGAAAAGCAGAATGTTCTAACTTTTATTCTCAAAAAAGGAAAAGCTTCCTTGAAATCAATCCAGTTCAACATTTAAATATTAAAATATCAGTAACATCATTAGCATGAATTTTTTTGACCATTGCCTTTTTGTCTGTAAGGAAGAATGAGTGTGCATGCCAACATTAGTAATTTTGTTTCCTTAATAAGTACAGCAAATCGGGAACAAAAACAAGATAAAAGGTTTTTTTTCTTAGACGGTTTCATTCGGCGTAATTTCAACTTCAAATTATAAGACCATAAATGAATGTCCTACTTCTGCATTAAAAGTGCTTGACTACTTTGTGGGATGTTTTGTGTCGATTCTTTACTAAATTATCTTGGTCGCCGTTGCTAGGTAACACCACTGGCTTCCTGCAGCTGAAAAAATGAAAGGGTTATAAGGAGCAATTCGGTATTATTAGCGTTTGTCTAAGGTTTTTTGGTTTTCTGAACTGTATATCTTAGTGTTTTCCCTTCTTTCCTAGGGAATGTCATTGTCTATGGGAATACAATTGATACTTACACCACCGTGGAGACGCTCTTGAACCTTGGCGTGAGCGGCAGCCGCATCCACCTCGTGCAGCCCCCGCCTGCCTCGAGCATCACCTGCATCAACAACTACTCGGTGGAGAGCGCGGTGGCGGATGCGCTCAGAGCCTCCGGAGTCACCATTTACCGGGATGCGATCCTGGCCCAGTGGAATGATGGCCTGCACCCGGACCCCATCTACAGCGCCTCCTTCACCGCACCCACCGAGCCTTTCAGACTCCAGTGCTCTGTAAGTGGATTCCCGCAAACCTCACCCACCAGCCAGGGACGGCGGCCGCCTCCAAGGGATTTGGGGGTCTGGAAGATTGCGGGGAGGGAATTTGTAGTCGCAGATGTTGGATTTTGTTTTCTGTCTGTTCAGCTTACCTCCTGCTGGGTAACAACCCACCCTAGACCCAGTGGCATAAAGCAGCAACGATGTTTATTATCCTTCTCTCTCCTGGTCGGGGGCTTTGGCTGGACTCAGCTGGGACATTCTCACTGGAGCGCGCTTATGCGGCTGAGGTCAGGCAGTGGGCGGGCTGGAATCGTCTCAAAAGCGCGGTCATTCACATGTCTGGCTGTTGATCCTGAATCAACTTCAGATGAGACTTTGGCCGGGACACTTAAAAGTGGCCCCTTCATGGGACTGGCTTCCTCACAACATGGTGTTTTGGGTCTGAGAGTGGTAGAGTGGAGAGAGAGGCGGTGTCAGCCGTGTCACCGTGGATGACCTGGCCTTGGAAATCAAACAGCATTCCTCCCACCACATTCTATTTGCTAGAGGCAAGTCGCTAGGACCAACTCATAGTCAAGGAGTGGGAAATTAGACCCTGCCTGTTCATGGAAGGGAGGTCAAAGAGCTTGTCATGCCCCAGGACATTCTGTCAGCTCATCATGACAGCTCTGTAAGGGGAAGTATCCCCAATTTACAGATGAGAACACTGTGGCTCTAAGTCAGTGGTGGTGCTGGTTCCCGGCCTAGGGTGGCAGGGTCCCAAGGTCTATGCTGCCGTTAACCTCTTAAGATTCTGGCAACAGCAATAGTGAGTCCTCTGGCAGTGCGTATAGAGAGAGCACTTTCCTTTCCAGGTGGGTGACACCCCACCTTCCAGCCTGTGTTCTCAGAGTTTCCAGCTCAGGAGGTTAGTAGAAGCCCTCGGGGGAGACAGAGGGAAGGGGCCTGTCCATCTCGCTGAGAAGCAATGGACCCTTGCTTGAAGGGGAGGCTGAGGTCAGTGTGAGGATGACGGTTGTGTAGGTCAAGGGTGTGTCTTAGCAGTTGTGATAAAGACTGCCTGCTAACATCCAGTGGGCAAGCCAGTTAGGGGCAGAGGTTCACAGCAGGCCCTTACCTAGGAGTAGGGGGTGATCAGCCTAAGTCAGGGTTCTCACTCAGGGGCTGTTAAGGGTTGAGGATAGCGGCTCTCACCCCTACCCGGACCCAGAGCTCAAAGGACAGGGGCTCAAAGCAGACCGCTAAAAAAGACTAAAAAAGAAGATATTCTTTAGAATCTCTCATTTTATCCTGAGATATGTGGAAATTTTGTATTCTACTTTTTAGTGCATTCATTTATTCATTCATTACATAAATATTTATTGAATATCTGCTAGGTCCCAGGTCGTGTCCTAGGTGTTAGGGATGTAACAGTGACAAAGACAGGGTAAGTCCATTTTATTTTAAAAAGTGATAATGTCTATACATGTATGTCTTGACACCTATTTAGGACAGGAAATATCAAATTTTTTTTTTTTTTTTTGAGACAGAGTTTCGCTCTTGTTACCCAGGCTGGAGTACAATGGCACAATCTCGGCTCACCGCAACCTCAGCCTCCTGGGTTCAGGCAATTTTCCTGCCTCAACCTCCTGAGTAGCTAAGATTACAGACACACGCCACCATGCCCAGCTAATGTTTTGTATTTTCAGTAGAGACAGGGTTTCACCATGTTGACCAGGATGGTCTCGATCTCTTGACCTCGTGATCCACCCACCTCAGCCTCCCAAAGTGCTGGGATTACAGGCTTGAGCCACCGCGCCTGGCTCAAAATATTTTTGCCCAAATTTTCCCTCAAAAATGGCAAACCTGAAGGATTGCCACATTTATCCTGGAGCACCTCTAGGTGAGCGTCTGTGCCCTCTTCAGGAAGCAGAGGCCTGAGAAAACCTCCATAAACATCCCATTGATTAGCAGCTCTTCTGATCTTCACTTTCCTATTCAGACTGGAATCAAACTCCTGTCAAAAATATCTGGCAAATTAAATTGACCCTTGAACACATGAGGAGTAAGGGCACCAACCCTCCTCACAAAGTTGAAAACCCACATAGAACTTTTGACTCTCCAAAAACATAGCTACGAAAAGCCTACTGTTGACCAGAAGTCTGACCAATCACATAAACAGTTGATTATATAAACACGTTTTGTATTTTATATGTATTATATGCTCTATCCTTACAATAAAGTAAGTCAGAGTAAAGATATGAAGACAATCATAAGGAAGAGAAAATATATTTATTATTCATTAGATGGAAATGGATCATCATAAAGGTCTTCATCCTCATTGCCTTCACACTGAGTAGGCTGAGGAGGAGAAGGAAGAGGAGGGGCGGGTCTTGCTGTCTCAGGCAGAAAAAAAATCTATGTGTAAGTGACACGTAGTTCAAATCCATGTTGTCCAAGGTCAGCTGTAGCCTCAACTGCCTCGATCCAAGGCACCTTCCTGCTACGTTTTCCTCCTAATGCAGTCTGGGTCAGACATCAGCCTGTTTGCTGTTGTATTCTTTCTCCTACCTTCCCTGGTCTGCTTGGCATCACAATGAATGGCCCCTGCAGATGACATTTCCCAGCCTCTATAATTCTCTAATTTTTATCTGTATGTGGCCAACAGTTTGTTCCTGTGGGAGATTAGACATGAAAAGGGGGAGTCAGGGTAGGTGTCTCTCATGCTGTCTGCTTTGGGCAGCATCTGTTAGGCCAGTAAGCACCTCTTGGCAGGGATGAATGTCCATCTTCTTCACTGTGGTCTTGGTGTTGTGGATTGAATTACATCCCCCAGAAAGATATGTTGGTGTCCTAACTCCCAGTACCAGTGAACATGACCTTATTTGGAAATAGAATCTTTTTCGATATAAACAAGTAAAGACAAAGTCATCCTGGGTCAAGGTGGGCCTTAAATCCGATGATCGATGTTCTTAAATAGAGAGACTTGATGGCATGCAGGGACACACAATGAAGAGAGCCTCATGACAGTGGAGGCAGAGGTTGGTGTGACGACAGCTACAAGTCATGGAATGGCAGGAATTGCTAGCAACCGCCAGGAACTAGGAAGAGGCAGGGAAGGCTTCTTCCCTAGAGCCTCTGGAGGGAGCATGGTCCTGACAATACCTGGATTCAGACTTCTAGTCTCCAGAACTGTGAAATAATACATTTCTCTTGTCTTGAGCTACCCAGTTTGTGGTACTTCATTACAGCAGCCCTAGAAAACTAAAGCGGGTGATGTTACAAGTGTATGTACCTACTTAAACTATCATTTTTATAACTGGAATCGTACATTTTCTATTTGGCTTCCTTCACTCAGCATGGTGATTTTGAGATTCAATATAGTTCTGTGTATCAATAGTTCATTCCTTTTTATGGCTGAATAGTATTCCATTGTATGTATATATCTCATTTTGTTTATTCATTGGCCTGCTATGCACATTTATACATGTCTTTGTGTGGATATTTTTATTTCTGTTATCTAGAAATCTAAAGATGTCTAAGTCATATGACAGGTGGATGTTGACCTTTTTAAGAAGTTGCCATGTTGCTCTCCAAAGTAGCTATACCATTTTACGTTTCCATCAGCAATGTAGGCGAGTTCCAGATGCTCCAAGTCCTTGTTAGCACTTGGTATTGTCAGTCTAATTTTAGCCACACTTGTGGGTGTGGCATGGTGCATCATTGTGGTTTTTTTTTTTTTTTTTTTTTAGATGGAATCTCACTCTGTCGCCAGGCTGGAGTGCAGTGGCGCAATCCTGGCTCACTGCAACCTCCGCCTCCCTGGTTCAAGCAATTATCCTGCCTCAGCCTCCCAAATAGCTGGGACTACAGGCATGCACCATCACGCCCAGCTAATTTTTGTATTTTTAGTAGAGACGGGGTTTCACCGTGTTGTTCAGGATGGGCTGCATCTCATAACCTCGTGATCTGCCTGCCTTGGCCTCCCAAAGGTTGTGATTTTTTAATTTGTGCTTTCCTGACGATTAATTATGTTTGGCATCTTTTCATGTCTTTAGTAGCCATTAGTATTTCTCCTTTTTGTGAAGTGTTCAAGCCATTATAAATGTATTTAAAATTCTTAAATTTCCAATTGATCACTGCTAGTTTACAAAATGTGATGTATTTTGTATATAAACATTGTAACTTGAAACTTTGCTACATCACTATTAGCTTTCGTAGTTGCTTTTTAGGTCCATAAACAGTCATGCATATAGAGGCAGTTTTACTACTTCTTTCTTGATATTTAGGTCTTTTATTTCAGTTACTTGCCTTATTCTATGCACTAGGACCTACAATGCAATGTTGAATAAAAGTGGGGGAAACAGACATCCTTGCCTTGTTCCATATCCCAGGGAGAACTTTTAGGCTTTCACTATTAAGTACGAGAGAATTTGGCTTTGGATTTTTCTTTGGTGCTTTTTATCACACTGAAGAAGTTACCTTCTATTCCTAGTTTGTTTGGAGGTTTTATCATGAATGGCTGTTGAATTTTGTTAAGTGAATTTTCCATATTTCTTAAAAAGAAATATTTTCTTAAAATTAAGAAATATTTCTTAAAAAGAAATATGAAAATTTTCTTCTTAATTCTTTAATAAAGTTAATTACATTGATCAATTTTTAGAAATGTTCAGCCAACCTTAATTAAATCTCTGGAATAAACCCTAATTGGTCATAATGCATTATCTTTCTGTATGTTGTTAAATGTTATTTGCCAATATGCTTTAATAATTTTCTAAACTATTTTGCAACTATATTCATGAGAGATGGTGATCTATAATTTTCTATTTTTGTAATGTCCTTGTAAGATTTTGGTGTTCAAGCTATGTTGGCCTCATAAAAAAAATTTGGGCAATGTTCCCTCCTTATTTATTTTCTGAAAAAGTTTGCACAAGATTGGTATTTTTTCTTTCTTGGATGTTTGACAGAATTAACCAGGGAAACAATCTGGGCCTGGAGTTTATATTGTTGAAAGGCTTTTGATAACAAATTTG